TTCTCCTTCCTCTCCATGTCCCCCCTCCTACGCCCTTCTCTCCCACCTCCTGCCTCCTCCCAGTCCCGCTGCACTCCTTCCTGCTCCATCCTACCTCATACCACCTCCTTCCTTCCTTGGCCCACGTATACTTGTACTCATGGCTGGCCCAACATCCTTCCTCTCTTCAGTCAGAGTGAGGGGGCCGAACGATCATTCACTGTCCCTGGGTGCGTGGCTGAAGTGAGGTTCCGCGGTGCGGATTGCTGTTGCGGTGTTGTTGTTTGTTGCTGCTGTTGTTGATGTTGTTGGTGTTGTTGTTGTTTGTGATGTTGTTTGTTTGTGTTGTTGGTGTTGTGTTTGTTGTTGCGGTTGCCGTTGTTACTGATGTTGTTGAAGCTTCACTTCGAACTAATAATCATAATAATAGATCACCCCTGTGGTAACCTTTGTATTTGTTCAATTAAACTGCTCCTCCCAGGGCTCGCACCCTGATTTTGACAAGGGCAAGCTGGGTGTCACCAAACTGGGTTGTTGGCCCCCGAGTTACAGCAACAACGGCTCCCGCCTAAAAAATCCTCACCATTTCTTGAGGAAGTGATGTCTCGCGCGGGATTTCATCACAATGTATGCAGGAATCGCGCTCTCGCGTGGGACTTCCTCGCAATTTATTCAAACGCCGCGCCCTCGACACTCAAGAATCACGCTCTCGCATTGGTCTTTCGCACGATTCACTTGGGAATCGCGCTATCGCGCGAGACCTCCTCGCGAATCATGCAGGACTCACGCTTCAGCAGCCCTCCTGCCCGACCTGGCCGCCTGGGCCCGCTCTCCCGACCCGCCCGCTAGGGTCTGCCCGCCCGGTCTGCCCGTCTGGTTCTGCCACGTGCTTTCTGCTCCTAACCCCTCTCGTGCTAATCCCACCAGCCCTCTGGGCGTAGGTGGTCTGGGGGAGTTCCTCTTCCAACCACCTTCTTCCCCTTCGGAAAAGGGCTTACCATTGTTCCTTATTAATATACACCCCTTCCCCCACCCGGCAGGCGGCCAACCCGGAACGATGACAACCCCATGAGGGCCACCCCCCACCATCCCTGTTAAAAACTTATACGAAACGCACTCAGCCTCCCCCGCGAACATTTTGTCGGAGGTGAGGGGGTGAGATCGAAGTGGAACGGAGAGCCCCCCTACCGGGAAATCGGTTTCGGTTTCGTGTTCGTGCGTGCCGTGCGTGCGGGCGAAGCGAAACTGCGTGGGCGGGCGAGAAGAAACTCTCCTCTGGCTGAGGCGCGGCCGGACAAAATGTTTCCTGTCCGGGGGCCGGTGGCGCGCGGTGTCCCGCCGGTGTCCCGCCGGTGTCCCGGCTGAGGCGCGGCCGGACAAAATGCTTATTGTCCGGGGGCCGGTGGCGCGCGGTGTCCCGCTGGTGTCCCGCCGGTGTCCCGTCGGTGTCCCGATGATGATGATGATGATGGTGGTGATGATGATGGTGGTGATGGTGGTGATGATGGTGTCCCGATGACGATGATGATTATGGTGTTGACGATGTTGATGACCCAGCCGCGACCCATCCGCGACCCAGCCGCGACCCATCCTGCGACCCAGCCGCGACCCATCCGCGCACCACCCCGCGCCCGCCCCCTCTTATCCGCAACTGCGGGGTGCTACAGATTCCCTTCCTCCTGCTCCTACGCTTCTCCCGCCTCCTCACTCTACTCCTCCGCCTGCAATATGCGTTGATTTGTTCTGACATGTGCCGCAGGCAGTGGAAGCCGAAGCCCTGCCAACGTGTGTGTCGACACAGAGACATGGTTGACAACTTGGAATGACGCATGCACAAGTCGGCACATTGTTCCCCTCCTCAATCCACTCATGCTCGCCATGCTGCTGATCCTCATCGCCTTCCTCCTGCTGCCCCTACTGCTCGGGCTGCTGCTGCTCTTCCTCACACTGGCTTCGGTGCTGCTGTTGATCAAAGTGCTGCCCTTCCAGCTACTGACCCTGCTCAACTTCCTCGTTGTCATACCCCTCAACTCGCCCCCGGCCCATGTAAGGACCTCGGAGGAGCTGATCTCCAAGCAGACATGATGCCGAGATACCAACAAGCTCAACGAGCTTCTGTTCGAGTGAAGCACCCAGAAACAAGCTTCTAGAAACAAGGGCCTTGGCACGTCCGTCTGTTTGTTGGAAGGCCCCAAGAGGAGGAAAGGACGATGTCGGATGATGGATGAGGTGGACGGGGGAGGAGACATGGTGAGGGTCATGCAACTGGAGAACAATGCCTCCTCTTATGTTGCTCCCATCGCACTTAAGGACCACATCCCCAGAATAATTTCGAGCACCTGGTAAAGTGTCGAAACAGTGTCGGACGAGTGCATCCCAGGGCCCAACACGTGAAAACCTTCCAATTTCGGTGCGTTTTTCTGGTGCTCGAAAGTCTTTCTGGTTACCAAGGCTAAAGAAGGTTGGAACATCATAAGCCTCGTCATTCCTGCCTGTTCCAAAATTATCCATGCTGGTTCAAACGCAACTAACGCTCCATGGGAGGACTTCAGCAAGAAGACGAGGAGCTGGGGCCGACACTCGAGAACTGCTTACTTGACCCCCAGGCCCTGTACTGCAACCGTCTGGCCTGGCCACAGCGACGCTAGGGGCGCGACCGATGCTTGATAGCATCGACGGTGCGCACGTGAATACGCAAGCTCCCTGTGAGCCGCTTTGCTCCTCCGAAACCAGCTGCTTTCGATCGGGAGGATGGTACGGGCAGGAAGGAGCTAAACGTAAGCGAGGGTGGACCATACCGGACCAACTTCACAGCCAACAGTACAATCGGCTTAGCTCGTCCTGTCGGGTCAAGGATCTAAGCTCAGTGGAAGTCCAGCTCGTCTCGCGGAGTGTGCAATTCAGGAACAGAGCCATTGGAAGTTCAGCCTCAACGGCGATGATCACATTATCGTGAAACGCATGGCGGGTTCCAGAAACCCTGAATCCAAAAATGTGGTCATCTCTTGGGAGGCCGATTTTTACTTCCGCCGACTTCCGCCAGCTTCCGCCCGCGGAGCCGCCGCCGTTTTACTTCCGCCGGCCTTCCGCCGCCTTCCGCCGAGGAAGACATGGCAACCCTTTTCGATCCTCGAATCGAAGGCAAGGCCCTTTCTGGAACGCCTTACATGCTGGGAGCCAAGTCCATCCGCACTCGTGCATCAACAACGCCCTTGCGTCAACGAGTGTTCTGCCTTCTCCTCCCATCCGTGCTGCCCGTGCCACGCTCTGGCGAGAACACCGCCCGAAACCGAGTCGGGCAGAGGGGCGCCAGAAAAGGGAAGGAGAATGGAGAGGAAGAGGAGCGTGAGGAGACGATCTGAGGATGCAGAGGGGGCAGAAAAGGGAGCGAATGGAGAGGAAGAGGAGCAGAATGGAGAGGAAGAGGAGCGAATGGAGAGGAAGAGGGGCAGAAAGGGGCAGAGGAGCAGAATGGAGAGGAAGAGGAGCGAATGGAGAGGAAGAGGAGCAGAGGGGCACCAGAAAAGGGAAGGAGAATGGAGAGGAAGAGGGTCGGGGATCTACTGACCCGGGTCAATCCAAGCCCGTGCGAGTCAGGCCATGCAGGATCCTGCAAGATCCTGCAAGGTCCTGCAAGATCCTGCAGGATCCTGCGCGCCAGCCCAGGTCAATGCAACCCTGGCTCTGCAGGATCCTCCAAGATCGGGCGCTCTGGCTGAACCCCGTTTGCATCGACCCCCGTCGCAACGCTCCCGAGAAAATATCCGCCGACCCCCGCTTGCCGGGGGTGAAAAGGCGTGTGCGACATTTGGCTGTCCCCCTACTCCTTTCCCCACTCCCGTGAACTTCAAAATCCCGTTAGACGGAGGCCGGAGGGATCAACGAGCTCCCTGGCGAAAGGGGGGGGCAATTGGTCCACGAATTCCCCGGCGCACCTCCCTGGCCCTCGGAAGCCTCCCAATTCGCCCACGGCGGCCTTCAAGATACTCGAGATGCCGTTCCAAGTGGCTCAAGAAGGGCTGCAACCTGCCGGAAAGGCCTCCAGAATCCATAATATATATATGTATATATATATGTATGTATATATACATATATATAGCCCTCTTTCCTCGCGCCATGGCCACCCCTCTGAGAGGGCAATATGTGTGCGAGTTGGAAGGCTACCCACAGCTGGAGCTGAGCAACGAGCGCACTAAGACAAGGGAATACATTCGAACACTCTGTCAACTCCCACTGTCGAGTCGAAGCAAGGGGCGGGTGAAAAAGAGCAGCGGAAAGCGTTAGCTCGTAAGAAATGGGAGGGAACTTGAGCGAAGCCAGTTGCGGAACAACGAGATGCGGCCAAATCTGCGAGGCTGAAGCTCCAAGATCAATGTACAAGTACCGTCAGATCTCTAGCCCTCTTTCCTCGCGCCATGGCCACCCCTCTGAGAGGGCAATATGTGTGCGAGTGGGAAGGCTACCCACAGCTGGAGCTGAGCAACGAGCGCACTAAGACAAGGGAATGCATTCGAACACTCTGTCAACTCCAAGCTGAGACCGCACCAAAGTCGAACCATGGCCCGCCGTTCAATCAAGACCCCTTCTGATACAATTTACTTCACAGGCAATCATTGAGGCACGAAACTGATTGACTAAGCGCTTGCACAGCGAGCGCGGGTAGGGCTCAGCCGTCTTGGTGAGCCACTTCCCATCAGGCCCTTTTCCGTGCAGCACCACATGCTTCTGGCCAGTGCGATCGCACTTGTGTTGATTCTGGGCACTGTGACACACGCGCGCGGCAGGGGGAATATCGATATGCACATGCAGAAGCCGAGTCCTCTTTCGCCATGCCATTCCATCCACACAGAAGTCCGCGGCGGTTTCTCCCACTTCCTTGCGAGCCCTAACCGATGAAATGAAAGGCGTGAGCCACAAGCGAGACGAGGCTGGATTCTCGAGCACTGCAGGCACACCGCGCGACAGGCAACAGGCTATAACTTTTGCTGAAAAACGGCACAGCTCATTGGCAACGTCTACCTTTACTTGGTCGGCCTCTGAAAGTCCTGGGGGGCCCAGAGGCAGGTCATCTGACCTAAGTCGCGGCGGCCTGGCGCCAGAGTCGCGCGCCCGGGAGAAGGTCGCGCACGGCGCCCCGAGCCATGCCGCGCGGCAACAGCCCGAGCGGATCCAGCCCAGGATGCGCCGTTGGGCGGAGCGGCTGCTGAGGTCGCGGGAGCAGTGGTGGCTGACGTCAATCTCGAAGATCGGCAAGCCCCGCGGCGGCCGCTGCCTCCAGCAGTGGCTGAACCTCCCGCCCCCGGAGAAGATCTCCAGCGCGAAGCCCTCTCTGCCCGCTACTCGCGGTATGTCCGCGAGAGGCACGCGCCAAGCGTGCGCTCGGCCTCCAGCGCGGCGTTCAGCTCCTTGGGCGTCAGCGACCTCAGCACCTGGTTCACGCGCCCGCCTTTCTCGTACCACTTGACCGATCGCAGGCTGTGCCACCTGCCTCGGCGCATGAGGCCCTCGGTGCTCCGGAACTCGGTCAGCGCCTCGTGCAAAGCCCCGCCGTGCCTCAGCTGGTACAGCGTGGGGGCGACGAGGCTGGGGAACAATAGCCTTGTGGCGGACCTCACGGCCTCCTGCCACTGGGCGGAGCGCAGCGGGAAGAGGGGCCTTCACTCCGCCACGGTTTTCTGCAAGCTCACCAGCATCGGCACCACCAGCTCGAACTCGGGGTTGTCGAACACCATGCGCTCGTCCTGCGCCCCCACTTTCGAGGGTCAGACCCTTCTCGTGCGGGTGGAGCACCACGGGCCACTTGCGGCGATTCGGTGTCCCTCCGCTCACTGGCGCCACTAAGCAGCCGCCTGCCAGCCTCAGCGTCTCCGCCGGCCGCAGCAGCAGCAGCACGAAGGCCGTGGACGTCGCTCCTGCGGCCGCCAGCTGCCCCCGCGCCAGAATCTCCTTCACCAGACCGGCAGTCGCAGGCCAGGGCAGCGGCAAGCGAGAGCTGGCAGGGTTGTGCCGTCTCCAACCCTGGAGCGCCCGTCGCGATCGCCGAAGCTCGGGCGCGCCTCGGGGCACCCCCGGGAGCAGATGGCACAGCGCCGCCAGCATCTTGGTTCCCGTCGCCAGCGGCTCGCCCTCGAAGAACTGCTCGTTCAGCCACGCCACCAGCGCGCCGTCGGCGTCCGCCGGAGTCTTCAGGCTCATCCCCTTCTTGGAGGCCCAACGCACGAAGCAGCTGAACCGATTGCGGTAGTCCTTCTGCGTGAGAGGGCCCAGCCCACCGCCTCTTCCTCCAGCACGGTCAGCGGGCGAGACCCGAGCGGCACGCCGCGCTCCAGCTGCGTCAGCTCCTGCCCCAGCAGCGCCTGCCGCCGCCCGGCGGCGGCAACCCCGCGGCTGGCGCCTGCGCGATGGTGTGCTGCCGCGCTCGCGCTCGCCTGCGAGCTGGCGCTGGCCCGGCGCCGCCGCTGCCTCGCCCGCTGCTGCGCCTGGCCCGCCTGCCTCTTCACCAGAGCACTGCACGTTGGGAAGCTCGAGCCGAGGCGGCGGCCCGAGGACAAATGGGTCGCCTCCACCGCCTAGGATGAAGCCGCCAGTGATGGGGTCCACGAGCTCGAAGCCGCCGCCGTCGGGACAGCCGCCAGGCCTCCAAGCCGCCGCGCGCTCGGGCCGCGGCTGAGCATCCCGACAGGCAGCGGCGCTACGCTCCTCTGAGCCGCGCGAGGCTCCGTCCGCCGCGTTCCTCTCGGAGGAGATCCAGCGCGCGTGAACCGCGGCGAAGCTGGCCAAGCACAGGGCGGCCCACTGCCTAAGGCAGCGCGCCATCGCCCGACTCGAGCTCCGACCTTTGGTAATCCCGAGCACAACGGCCCGTAGCGTCACTGAGCACGAGATGTCGACAGCCCACGGCTTTGCTGCCCCGCAGAATGTGACGCAGCGCCCAAACACCAGCCCGAGCCTCCAAGATCACCTGGTCGCCCGAGACGCTCCAAGGTCTACTCATCACACGCCTCCAGCAGCCTCCCCAGACAGACCTGGGCACCGCAGGCACCCCTCGAAGTTATCCTTGCTCTTGTCCCCAGACTCCCTCATCATCTCGTGGGCGTGCCCGTTGCTCCCCGCACTTCGTAAACCTCCACCCATCAGAATAACGTCCCGCGTATTTGATCGCACCAATGTCGCATCGTCGTTCCATAACCCCGTAGCCCCACTCGCTCGCGTCGAAAACCGTCACCTTGGGGCCCCACGTCATATTGAGCTCTCTAGAGGCCAGGGGTACCAGATGACTCACCCACTCCAGCTCATCCCTCACAGAATCCCAAAGAGGTGTTACTCGGACAGGATGACGATCGATAAAGGCATACACGGTGTGCAAGACCGATAGGATGGGACGTCGCAACAGAACGCGAAAGGTAAAATGACCAACGATGCTTCTCAACTGGGAACCGCTCGCTCGTCCTCTGCGCAGGATCTCGCGCAGGCCGAGAATGAGCCGCCAGGCCGTTCGTGGAGCTATCCCCACTGCAGGCCGCAGCTCGTCAAAGTGCCAGCCAAGCGCATCTCCGCCTCGACTGCAAGTGACTGGATGCACGCCAGGCCCGTCAGCCTCAAGAACGGCGCCGACCTCAGTGGCCAGCCGGCGGCCCTCTTCTCTGTCCGTCCCGAGCGCCACGAAGTTATCTACGTACTCGGTGTGGACGCAGCCCTGAGTAACCACAGGGGCAGGCCGCCCGTCCACCAGTCTGTTGTCCGCACCCACGCCGGTGACCCTCTCGGCTACCGCCTCGTGGAGCGCCTGGCAGACGTACAGCGCCCCTTGAAGCCCATGGGCAGCGCGCTCAGCACCGGCACGACCCTCACTCCAGGATGCACGCGTTCACCGCCTAGCCATCGAACTCCGACAGCCCCAGCACACACGGGCTCCATCCCGAAGTACTCGCGTAGCTCCTCGGGCAGGCTTATCGAGTAGAAGGCCACCTCGATGTCCACGCCCGACGCGTACACAGGCTCGGTCCCCTCGATCTCGAGCCGCCCAAAACTGTCGCCTGTCGCCAGGCTCACTCCCGGGGCGTCCTTGAACCAGCAATTGCTCACTCTGCAATCCAGGATAAGACGTTGCTCCCCCCCTTCTTCCACGCGCAAAAAGTACCGACGCTCTTCTTGCAGCTGCGCCTGTGCTCGATGATGCCCCGCTCGTGCAGCTTCCTAAGGAGCTTAGCGTACTCCTTCGGCTTCTGGCGAACGATCGGGTCGTTGTAGGCACGGCGCAACTGCTGGCGCTCTTCCTCAGCCGCCCCATCTTCGGGCGCCCGAACCAAACTCTTGAAAACCTCGAGAGCCTCCGCGCCCGCCGAGCCCCCGACATCCTGGATGCGCGCGGGTCGACGCTGGAGACTGGGCAAGGCAACCCGCTCCACCTCGAGGGGGGTAGCAGCTCCGGCGACACCGCCGTAGCTCTGCTTCGACAGGAGCTCCTCCAGGGCTCCCTGTCCATGCAAGTCAGCTGGAGGCGAACCGAGCTCACGGCGGGCTTGCTCGATGCGCGCCAAGCAAGAAAGCTGCGCCGAACTCGGCCGCAAACTGGTGCTGTCGAGGTCCTCGCTGGCCCCGTGCAGCTCGTTGAGGGTGGCGATCGCCCCGGACACTCCACCCTCTCGATGACGCGCCCGAAGTCTCCGCCGGCGGACTGCATGGCTCGACATCTCGCCCCCCCCTCCAGGAATACGAACCAGCGCTGGCAGGCCTGACTGTCTCTCGGGCAAGGGCAGCGGAAGAAGCTCGCGAGCAACTCGACGCTCACGAGGGCGGCTGCGAAACTGTGGAGGATGGCCTCCGCCCCTGCCGCGCTCGGCTGCCGCCGGCGGCCGGGGCCAGTGGGCAGGCGCTCCTGCCCGATCATTCCCCATCCTTCTTCTTGTTGGTGAGGGGTCGGCGCTCTTCTCGCGCCTTCCTCACCTGCTTCATGATGTTGGCGTCCCTCTCGACTTCTCGTGACGCGAAGTCCATCAGCTCCGGAGCCAGCATGACGCTGCCCGCGTCGCGGTGCTGGCCCGTGAAGACTCTCGTCCAGCAGGCCGGCCCCCTTGCCGGCTCCCTTCTTTCCTTTGCCGCCAACCGTCTGCCTGGCGACCCTCTCCTGCTCGTGCACGCACTCCGCCAATTGGGCTTGGCGGAAGAGGACTTCGAAGCTCGCCAAGTTGCACAGCTCCAGGTGGTCGTAAGTCCTCGCCTCCTCCACCGCCTTGAGGCGCATGCGGTGCGTATCCACGCCCCAGTCGCCAGTCTCGAGGCCGTGCAGCATCGTGAAGTACCTGTGGTGGTCCATTGGTCCTCCTCCTCGTCTGTTCAAGAACATCATGCACCACTCGGTGGTCCTGGGGCCGACCACGGGCCAACCGGCGAAATCCGTGACGCTCGACTTGCTCACCACGTCGCGCCACTGAGTCCTCTGCCGCCCAGCATCGCTCAGGCTCACGTGCAGGATCCGCGCGTCTCCGGCAGCCTCCGCTCCGACCCACCTCATCACGTCCTGGCGCCTCAGCCGCCGCAGGCGCAGGCTCCCGCCATCGCCTGTCGGCACCAGCGCCACCTCGCCCAAGGTCACGGCAGCCGCTGGAAGCAGCACCTCCTCTCCTCGTCGGTACTGTCCTCGCGTCTCCACCGCCGCCCACGCCAGGGTCGGGTCTCCGCGAGCTCCTCCATCGCCGCCTCCGCCTACCGCCCCGCCTCCAACAGGTACTGTGGTGATCTGTGCGTTTGGTGTGGCTATAAGTTGTGTTATATCTCACACTTATATGTAAGTTATAAGAAGTTATAACTATTTTACAACTCTGTTTTAACTTTTCCAAACTCTTTTAAAACCTTTTCATTACTTGTCATACCTTTTTCTGCATTTTCTCAATTCATTTATAGAGTCGCGCGGAGCACGCTTTGTTGGTTGCGATTTGCCCCGCGAGCACAAGACAGCCCACGCTTTGCACGGTTCGCGCCCCGATGCAAGGAGCTCCGCCGAACGCAATTCCGCTGGCGGCACCGCGCCCATCTCGGCACACCCCTCACGCGTTATCTAAGCAGGGCCACCGCCAATGTCGGCACACTGTCCGCACGTTTCGCGCCGCGCTCGGCGCAGGAGCGCGGCGAACGGCGCGCGGCCGCCTTTCCCTGGAAGGGAGGGGTCATCCTTCTCTCCCCCCCTCCCTCACTCCCCCCCTTTCCCCCTGAAGGCGACGGCGAAAGACGAGGGCTGCGAGGGCGACCGCGACGACGACGACGACGACGACGACGGCAGCGGCGGCGGCGGCGACGGCGACGACGACGACCTCTCCCTCCCTTCCTTCCCTCCCTCCGTCTTTCCCTCCCCCCCTCCCTCTTTCCCTCCCTCCTTCTCCCCCCTCCCTCCCAATCCCCCTTGCCCCCGCCCATTGGGGGAGGGGGGTGAGGACGTCGTCGTCGTCGTCGTCGTCGTCGTCTTCGGCGTCGTCGTCGTCGTCGTCGTCGTGGTCGTCGTCGTCGTCGTCGTCGTCGTCGTGGTCGTCGTCGTCGTCGCCGTGGTCGTCGTGGTCGTGGTCGTCGTCGTCATCGTGGTCGCGGTCGTCGTCGTCGTCCGTCCGCTGAGCCGGCCCGCGCGCCGGCTCGGCTCGGCTCGGCTCGGCCGGATGATGATGATGATGATCATCATCATCCGGATGACGATGATGCTGATGATGATGATGGTGATGATGATGATGACGGCGATGATGAGGGGGCTCACGGAAGGAGGAATGGCGCAGGAAGGGGGGGCGAGGGCAAGGAGGCAGGTGGAGGCGGACGAGAAAATCATTTGGAGGGCGAGGGAGGACGAGGCAGAATACGGAGGAGGGATGGCGAATTTGAAGGAGGAGGGGAAAGGGGGGAGGGGGATAGGTGGAGGGATTATAGATGATGGTTTTTCTTCGCTAATTTGTTCGATAACTCTGAAACGCGCGCGGCGCGGCCGGCGCCCCTGCTGAGCGCGCGCATTCGGTGGGCAAGTCGCGGGCGAGCCTCGCGATCATGCACTCATTTCTTCTTGGTGGAGAGGTAGGCCCACGCGCGAGCCCACGCCTCCTTCGGATCCTCGGCCTTCCAGCTGAAGGCCTTGTCCACCCTGGTCCAAGAGGGCTTCACCCTCCACTGCTTAGTCTTCGTGGCGGTGTAGATGATGAGCTCTCCAACGCGGATTGGGTCCGCGTAGGCCGTGCCAGGGCGCGAGGGTTTCTTCGGCGTCGCCTTCGTCGGCGGTGTCGTTGCAGAGGCCGTCTTCTTGGTCTTGGTGCGCGGGGTCTCCTTGTTCTTGGCATCAGTCTTCGGAGCCTTCGGGGTCGCCTTTTCCTTGCCATCAGTCTTCTGAGCCTTTGCCGGCGACTCTGTGGTTGCAGCGGCAGGGCGTTTCATGGCGGCGCCCTCGGCTGCTGCAGGCTTCCTCATAGCACCCCTGAATTGTTCGGCGAGCTCCTCGGTGCTGAAAGCCTTCTGCGAACCTGGGCCCGCAGGATGCTCCGCCGCCTCCTGGCTGTCCTTCTCGCCCTGGCTCTCCTTCTAGTCCTCGATCGCCAGCGCGGCGCCCGCGGAGCCCGTCGCCGCACAATGTGGGCCCTCATCCGCGACTGCACCAGCTGCGCCACCGGCCGGCAGCTCACCCTGCGTGGAGCTCCGCTGCACCTGGGGGCCGAAGATCTGCAAGTTTGCCGCGTTCGGGCCGACGACCAAGCGATCGAGCATGGTCATCAGCAAGGCTTCGGCTGGATTAGCACGCGACGCTGCAGCGCTGCCGCCCCCGCGGAGCTGCAGCTTGGGCTCCGCGACGCTCGCGTGGGCCCTGCGGGCTGGCAGCGCCTTGCGGAGCCCATCCACGCTCGCTGCGTCGATCTGACTTGGGCAGTGAGGCTCCGCAGCATAAGCCAACTTGTAGAAGACGGGGTTGGCCTTCTTGAGCTCCTCCGCGTCGCTGGGGAACACTGCGCAAGGCGGCGGCGCCGCCCCTCTAGAAGCAGCGAGCTTGTGCCTGGTCTTCAGGTCGGTCAGCTGGTTTATGACTTTGTTGGCTTCGATGTTCATCTCAGCGACTGGCCCATTTGGCCCTGCCAACAGAATCGTCGCCAACAGCGCCACGTAGGATGGCTCAGAGGGGTGCGCACAACCAATGCGCAACATCCGATTGATCGCCACAACACACTTCGTGTTGAAATCGAAGTTGGGGTTCTTGAGCTTCCCCCAGTCGGCGGCCACCATGTAGTTGCGCGGGCGCGGCAAGGTCTGCAGCTGAGCCCTTCGGGCGTTCAAGGATGACCCCAGTGCGACCCTACCCAGAAGTTGGAGCCCCTAGGAAAGCAGCACTAGTTGCTAGGCTGTGCTATGCTACGCTATGCCATGCTATGCTGTGCTATGATATGCTATGCTATGCAATGCTGCGCCATGCGATGCTATGCTATGATATGATATGCTAAGCTATGTTATGTCATGATGCGCTGTGTTATGCTAAGCTATGATGGGCTATGCTTACGCTGCGCTATGCTATGCTATGCTATGCTCTGCTCTGCTCTGCAATGCTATGCTATGCTGCGCGGTGCTGTGCTGTGCTGTGCTGTGCTGTGCTGTGCTGCGCTATGCTATGCTATGTTATGCTATGCTGCGCTATGCTGTGCTATGCTGGGCTTTGCTATGATATGCTGTGCTGCGCTGTGCTGTGCTACGATATGCTATGATATGCGGTGCTCTGCTATGCTAAAGCCTGGCGAAGCTAAGATGAAGGTAAGCTAAGCTAAGATAGACCTGAGCTAAGATGAAGCTAAGCTAGGCTAAGATGGAATAAGCTAAAGTAAGATGAGATAAGCAACGCTAAGCTAAGGGAGCGCCGCTGGGGGAACCGCGGGGGGGCGGATCCTGGGGGAACCGCCTGGGGCGAGGAGCACTGCCTGGCCCTTTAAGCACACAGGTTAAGAACCCTTCTGGGCAGAGCCTAGGTCGGGAATTAGAATTGCTTTAGCCCCCCTCTCCACTGCCACCCCATCCTCCCTCATCGTCATCCTCCACGTCTGGATTCACTCCCTCATTTTCTCTTGCCGGGCGACCTCCCCCCCGAGCTCGCGGCGCCAGGGTCGTCAGAGGTCTTTTCCACGAGTACAGTCTGCATCTCATTGACGTGGGCCTCCGAGAACTGCTTGGCATCCAACATATGTAGAATGTTGCTGGACTGGGCCACTGGAATAATTTGGCTGCGGAGAAGCCAGATGATATCATTCTTGCGCGTCTCGCAGGCGCTCAGGAAAGCAGGCGACTCGCGGTCCATCGTCCTGGACAGGCACTGCGCGAACGCGATGTGCTGCTGAATCGAATCGACGATGCTTCGAGCCACGCTGCTCCTACAAGCGGGCCGAGCCTCGCTGATGTCCCCGTCTGCTCGCGGGCGGGCAGCTCGAAGTGAAAAAATGCAGGTGGGCGCGGGTGACAATGGCAACGTTGGCGTTCAGAGTAGAGAGAGAGAGAGAGAGAGAGAGAGAGAGAGAGAGAGAGAGAGAGAGAGAGAGAGAGAGAGAGAGAGAGAGAGAGAGAGAGAGAGAGAGAGAGAGAGAGAGAGGAGAGAGAGAGAGAGAGAAGAGAGAGAGAGAGAGAGAGAGAGAGAGAGAGATCCAGAGAAGGAGAGAGGATGTGATGTAGGGAGGGAGGAGAGGAGAGGGGAGGGGGAATGATAAAAAGGAGGAGGATGGCAAGGTGGAGGAAGAGGGGGAGGATGAGGAGGAAGATGAGAACGAGGAGGATGTGAAATAATTATCGACGCTTCGCGCATCCCCACCAGCCCGCCCAGAAACGATCAGCAAAGGGGTTGGTGAATCGCGGGCGGCAGAACGCATGCAGTCGCGCAGCCGTCTTCGAGGACACAAGCATCTCGCGTAGCTCCCCGCTTTGAAGTTTAAGATGGAAATCGGTTCAAGTTACGATGGTGCTTTGATGAGGGGTGAGGGTATTTCGATGACTCGCAATGGCTGTTGCACTGATTTGTATCTTAAGCTCGCGTGCGTTCCGAAACTTGGAGGCATCTTGGGGCCCGCTTGGGATTCTCTGGGGCCCCTTCTTGGGGCCTCCGGGGGTTCTTTCTTGGGGCTCTCCTGAGGTCATCTTAGGGCCTTATTGGGGCTTCTTGGGGCTCTTTTGGTGCGTATGTGGGCCCTCTTGGTGCTCTCTGGGAGGGTCTTGGGGCCCTCCTAGGGTTATTTTTTTGCTGTTTGGGGAAGGGGGGGGGGCGCGGGATGGGGGAAAGGGGAAGGCGGAGGGGGGGGGTGGGGGGGGGGGGGGGGGGGGGGGGGGGGGGGGGTTCTGGGAGGCCTCCTCGGCGCCGCCTTGGCCCTCATGGCAGAGGAAAGGGGGGGGGGGGTTCTTTGCCCCCCCCCCCCCCCCCCCCCCCGCACACGCGCTCCGCGCGCACGCGCGCGCACGCACACACGCACACACACACACACACACACACAGACACACACACACACAGACACAGACACACACACACACACACACACACACACGCACACACACACACACACACACACACACACAACACACACACACACACACACACGCACACGCACACGCACACGCACGCACGCACGCACCACACACACACACACACACACCACACACCACACACACACACACCACACACACACACACACACCACGCGCGCGCACACACAC